GGCGTCTTCGCGCTCACGCTCGGCCTCGTCCTGGCCACCAGCGCCCTCTTCTTCGCCTTCGAGTGAGTCCGGCCCGCCGCGAGCCCGGCCCCGGCCCGGCCCGGCCCGGCCCGGCCCTAACCCGCCTCTCTCCCCTCTTCGCAGCTGCCCCTTCCTGGCCCGCCACCTGACCCCGGCCATCCCCGCCATCGCCGCCCTGCTCCTGCTCTTCGTCCTCAGCTGCCTGCTGCAGACCAGCTTCAGGGACCCGGGCATCCTGCCGCGAGCCACCCCCGGCGAGGCCGCCGACCTGGAGAAGCGCATCGGTGAGGCTCCCCGGGGCCGGGCCTGGCTCGGCCTCGCCCCAGGACCCCGCGCGCTCCGGAGGGGGAAGGGGGGAGGAAAGGGGTCCTGAGCCGTTGGGCTCCTTCTCGGTGGCTTCGGGAAGTGGGGTCGCTGCCGCCTGGGCTTCCCTGTCTGCGACACGGGTGCGATGCCAGCCTCCTCGCGCACTGATTACGTTGGCAACGCTCTTAGGAGGTGAAGGACCAGGCCTTCGGCTGCTCGGGGTGCGTGTGTGGTAGCCCGGCTGGCCTGATCCCAAGGGGCCAGGTCGCTTCAGCCCTGCTGGGCTTCACGTGGGCCCCGTGGGAGAGGAGGCTGGGATGGAGGCTGGGCGTGCAGCTGGCGTGTGGTGGAGGTGGCGCCGCGTGCCAGGTGATGCACCCCAGAGCCTCGTCTAAGTCTGTTGTGAGCACGCGGGGGGTTGCGACCTCTTCCCGTCCCGTTGCTGCTGGTTCGCCCAGGAGCCAAAGATCCCAACTAGAAAGCAGGCGGCCTGTATTCACGGTCAGTGGCTCGGCTGAATCGGCGGGGACACTTGCTACGCATGTCCAACGCGCTCCAGAAAATACCTGTCTGTGTCCGCATGTCTGTTTGGCCCGTCCAGTTGCAGGCCAGTGCACAGGGGCGCGGAGCTGAGCTGTATTGCTTTCTCGGGCCATTCGGCATATTGCCATTTCCGTTCCCCTTCCATGTTTCGGGACCAGTCACCTGGCTTGTAAAATCATGCAGGAGGCTGCAGCGTGATTGAGAGCCACTTAACGCTTTGATCCCTCCCGGCGCTTCCCGGGTGTTGCCTGTGGCCTTCCCGGGACAACGTGGAGGCAGCCACAGGCCACTCTCTGAGCTCCAGGGTGGGGAAGGAGGGGTGTCAGGCTCCGGGCCACCTCTGCAGGGGTTGCGCCAAGGAGCAGAGAGGCTCCTGCAGACTCCTGGGCCAGCTACAGACCTGCTCGTGGTACCAGGAGTGGGGATTTGTTGTGGATGCTGTGCAGACAGTGGGACTGATCCCACAGTTGTGGGCTGGGCTCGAGTCCCCTCCTCCCTGCCGGTTTGTCCAGCTTGCTGCGTGCGGGCTCGGCTGTAGAAGCAGGAAGCAGGCACGGTGTTCTCTACTGACCCTGCTGCCTTGTTGTCTGTGAGGTTCCCGCGAGTACCCAAGTCCACCCAGACGCGGGCCAGTCCCGTGCCCGCTCCTGTTCAGTTCCAGGGAGACTTGGGCACTTAACTCCCTTCGGCAGCTCTGAACAGCCCAGCCTCCGTGTAAACGAAGAACATCCCCCAGCGCTGGCAGAGCGCTGTGCTCAGCCCCCACTTGCCATCTGTTGCTGCGCACCACCCACTCCCCGCGTGTCCCCCTCTCGCGAGCTCCCTGATCCCTGTAACCGCTGTGTAGCCTTGGTCTGAGGGACCTGGCCCTCCGTCACACCACGTCCTTAATGCCAAGCCAGCCGAGTTGTCGGGGTGCCCAGTGTTAAGTTCTGCAGCAAAGGTAGTAATTCACGTGAAGGGATTATCGTTTTATTTTGCAGATGAATGATGTTAGGGTTTGGAATAATGACTTCAGGCGTTGGTGCTTTGGAGGGTCGTGACTTGCCACTGGCCAGCTCTGCCTACAGGCCCAGTATCCGTGGCCTGTGCTTTAGGAGGGGATGAGGGTTGGTATAGTAGCAGAGTGCACGTCTGTCCTTGTGATGGCTGTCACAGGCCCGTGCGCCTTCCCCTGGGTTACAGGCGTGCAAACAAAGCTACTGTGAGACTTCTAAAATCTGTCATCCCTGAAAGCGGCCGTAGGAGAATAATTTAGGGCCGCCAGCTTTCAGACACCCACAAAATGGTTATCTTGGGCTGTTTCGCTTGCTGTTTAAAAATACCTACTGCTAGGTGCTGCCTGCCGTATCAGCTGCCACTCTTAATACAATGTGCTGTTTTTCCCCTTAACGGGCCTGAAATGGTCAGATCCGTGGTTTTGAAGCCCTGGTAACTGCTTGTGTCATGTGCTCCTTGCTGTGATCTCCAGGCAGTGCTTTTTTTTCTTTCAAGTGACGTGCGTTTCCAAAGCCCTCCTCCGCGCACCACCGCTGCCGTGCTGAGATTGGGGACCTTTGGCGACAGGCCTGGAATTCATCGGGTGCCAGCGCGTGCAAATCCATCTTGCCGTGTCCTTAAAATTCCCCAAACTCAGGAGCTGGTGGGAGCGAACTCTTCTACCAACAGTCCCAGCCAAAAGATCCACCGGCCACCTTGCCCCCAGATCCCCAGGGCAGTACCCGTTCTTCCCTCGCCGTAGCTGTGCTGCTGGTGCCAGGTCCTTGCTGGCAGCAGCCGGGGACGCTGCAGATTGCACTTGTCTGAGGTGGCCATTTCCTGGCATCCGTAGCTGTGCTTCACGGACCGTTGTCAAAGTCTTGTGTGCTCTCATGTACGGTGCTACTTCCTCTGGTCAGGAGGTGTTAGCCCCACTTTCTTCCCCCGTGGCACAGAGCAGTGTTGGCGCTACTAGGCACAGCTGCCAGACACTCATTATTTCTATAGCACTTCGGCTTCCAGACTGGGGTGGGATTCAACATGCGCGGTACAGCCCGACCCGAGGAGGTGGGAAGCCCCCCGAGCGTCCAGCAGACCTGGGTTTCCCTTGCATAAGCCTGCTTGTGCCCTCCTCTCTGCTCTGCAGATAGCATGGGCACCTCCACCTACCGCCCGCCCGCCCGCACGATGGAAGTGGTCATAAACAAGTACGTGGTGAAACTGAAGTACTGCTACACCTGCAAAATGTTCCGGCCCCCCAGGACCTCCCACTGCAGCGTCTGCGATAACTGCGTAGGTAAGTCCAGGGGTGGAGACTGGGCATGCCCCCTCGAGGGGATTGGGCATAGGGAGCAGTCCAACAGGTCTCAGGCTCTTGGGGTCCACTAGCCCACTCCTAGAAAAGCTCATAGGAAAGAATTTCTGTGGGGCTTGTGAATCTGCCAGGGGTGCAGTGACCCCGACCGGGGAACTGGAAGTTAAGGCCCTTGAGCAAAGGCTTTCCTGCTTCATCTCAAGAGACTTGGAAAGAAAAATAACAGTTTAGGAGGGGGTCTCTCCCACCTCCGCCTGGCCTCGCATGCATACAGTGCCAGGCCAGGGTACAGCATGCTAACAGTGGTGCCAGGTAGGAAGGGTTTCACCAGTACAGTCCCACCTCTTGCTTAAACTCACCTCCCAGCATCTCTCTGTAAAGTGCTACCCTGTTCTCTCAACCACTGCTTGGCTACAGTGAAGGAGAGGGCACAGCCAGCCTCCCGTCTTCGCCCTTCTGCCCTCCTCTGGAGGGGAGAAAGTTGGAGATTGCAAGAAGTTGTGGGTATATTCCACCCCCCTCCCCAGGTATGGGGTGAGAGTGGGATCTGGGTGTGTGGCAGGGAAGTCCTTGGCCTAGGCTAGAGTCTAAAGAACTGACTTACAAAGTTGGCAGGGCTGTGGAGCGTGTGGGCTGGTCCCTGTTAGAGCTGCCCATACCTGCACTGCGGCACCAGGGCCCAGTGTGGACACAGCTCTGCTGTCTGCAGGAGCTTTCCTGCCACCCGTTACAGCCGCTCCCCCAATGGCAGAAGCCGCCTCCTCCCAGGGCTGTGTCCCCCACTGGGGTTTGCCAGCCACGGGCCGTGGTCTTCCCCACTCCTGTCTGGCGCAGCTTGGCTGGCAGAACTGCAGAACATAGATGAAACTGAGGCGAATGGCAAGTCTGCAGGAGCCCTGTTCGAATGCCGGCTCCCGATCCAGCCCTCCCCGTTGTAGCTCCAGTGGCTTGGGAGCAGATGGACCTACCGACCTAGGGGCTGTCCCCAGATCTCCAGCCCCCTGTCTAAAAGGGGGGCGGGTGCCAGCAGAGTGTTTGAGAAGCCGATGGTTGGCAGGAGGCAGTTCTACGGAAGGGGATACATCTACTGCACGGCACAGTAAGCTGTTGTGCTCGGAGCCCTGCAGCAGAACCCGGCATGCTTCTGGGAGCCATTTCTGGCCATTCAGGACTCTGTGTCTGTCCTCTTTAGGCCCTTCTGGAGCAACTCCTCAGCAGAACATATATGCTGCTGAGATGCAGCCTGACCCCATCATGGATCTGGTCTGTTTTTGCTGGAGCAAGACTGCAAGCTTGTGCCTTGGGAGATTCCCATTCAGCTCCCCGTGTTCTCAGTTCCCCTCTCAGCCCCAGCAGAGGAGTGGTACAGCATTTCAGAGTGCGTGCGTGCGTGCGTGCGTGCGTGCGTGCGTGTGTGCGTGCACCCCAGAAGTCTGTTTTGTGTAGTGTGGTCATGGGCAGTGTAGGAGCCAGTAGTCTTGTACCAGAGGAGTGGTATAGCATTTCAGTGGTGGTAGTGATGTGTGTGTGTTAGTGTCACCAGCACTGCTGCTGCAGGCACCTCAGCCCCCCTGAGATCTAGCTCCTTCTGGAAAGGCAGAAGGGTCTCTGTGCAGACCACCCCTCTTGGAATCCCAACCAACATTTGAGGCTTTGCAATGTGATTTTCCTGATGTTTGAAGATGCTTTTCTTCTTTGCACAAGCGGAGGAAGCTGCCTGACGCACCGGGACTGGTGGAGCTGAGCACACTCAGTGCTGCCGGAGGCACAAAACAAACAAATTAGAACAGAATTACGCTCTTTGTTTCCATTGCAGCAGCTACAGATGCTCTGAGTGACAGTAGCTGCCTAAACCAATATTCAGAGCGAAGGGCTTCCGGCTGAGATCCCTTTCCAGTTAATGGACCTTAAAGGTGCATGGGCTGCAGAGCCCTGTATCAGTTCAGTGAGAGTGTCCTTTGTTAGTATGTTCTGGACTTAAAGCTTAGGATTGAGTAGGTGGCAAAGGGTTGCTTGTAGCCCCTGGATTCACAGAGGCTCTGCTAAAGGTTTGGCGCTCAGCTGGTGCGTGGGACGTGGATCCCTAATGTCATTCCCTCTCTGGTTTCAGAAAGGTTTGATCACCACTGCCCCTGGGTGGGCAACTGCGTGGGGAAGCGCAACTACCGCTACTTCTACGCCTTCATCCTCTCCCTCTCCTTCCTGACGGCCTTCATCTTTGCTTGTGTCATCACCCACATCACTCTGCGTAAGTACTGCATGCCCCGCTCCTAGGAGCCTTTGCTGTGGGCACCTGATTTAGCATATGCTGAAAAGCAGCTTCTTAGGTCATGTCAGACAAGGTGGGGGTGGCTGAAGCGATTACTAGCTTGATACCGGGTCTTCTGCCGCTCCATCACCTGGGTGAACCAGATTGAGGGTTGCAGTGAGCTGTAAACCCCTAAACCTTGTGAGTTTGGTGATTGCGTGTGTGTGAGTTTGTGAGCGTGTGTGTGTGCACAGTTCAGGACATACGATCTATGGAGTGGTGGAGGGAAGGAAGCTATTCCTTCAAATAGCTGTCAGCGTACTCACTGTTTACAGTGGTTTTTTTTAGCTCATTTTCCAAGCGTGATCTTTCCAATTTAT